GGCAAACAAAAGCCAGTGATCTCAGCCAGAGCTGCAGATGCTCATCCTCCAACAAAAGGGTGTCCCGTGTCCTGTGGGGTAACTGGTTGAGGCTCCTTATGACTGATAATGAATTAACCCCTTTGACTTGAAGCTGGTGGTTGCTTAGTGACCACGAATCATGACCTGACTATATTACATGGGGAAGACAGCCCCAACCACTCTTAGGTACATGTAACACTTAGGGCTGATTTCTCAGCATGGGACTACTGTTATATTGCTCCTCCAGAGTGACTTGCGTGTAGGGAGAGAAAATAGGAATGAAAATCAGGAGGTTGTAGAACATTTGCAAACAAAGGAAAGTTATAACCCCACAATTAAGAAGTCAGGCAGCTGGGGTAGAACCCCTGTTTGGACTAGAGGGGCAGAATGAAGACCTGTTAGGGTGGTGAGGCACTGGGATGGGTTGCCCAGGGAGGTTGTGAATGCTCCATCCCTGGCAGTGTTCAAGGCCAGGTTGGACAAAGCCTTGGGTGATATGGTTTAGAGCGAGGTGTGCGTGCCCATGGCATGGGGGTTAGAACTGGATGATCTTAAGGTCCTTTCCAAGCCTAACTATTCTATGCTTCTATAATGGGTGCTGCAGAATATTTATTCCATCACTGTGGAAAAGACTTGAAATCAATGTGAAGTTACAATGCACTCAAGGGGAGTTCAAGCAGTAAAGAGAAAGAAGTGTTTTGCAGAATGGAAGGAACACCAAAAAAAGCTTTTGGGTTGTCCTGTGGATGCAGAAGTGTTTCTGGAAGAGGCAGGGAGACCCATCTGTGTCAGGATAACAAAGCAGAGGCACCCACTAATTCTCTGACACAAATACATCAAAACTTGCAGGCTAAGAGACCTTGCCCAGAAGTTGGCTCATGAAAGCCACTGAGGAGCTGGCACAGCACCCAGCTGATAAAAGCCATGTGCAATTCCCATCACTGCAAATGTGGTGGTGAAACCCGGGGCCTGTGGTGCATGCCTGACCTTACCGAGTCGCACATTTCAGTGGTAGATGTTGACATGGATTTAAGACTTGAACACCACTGCGACAAGCACATGTTCATGCCAGGAGGCCCCAGGGTTCAGGCACTGGCCTGGCTGCACTGTTTGGTACTGGGCAGCTCCCAGTGTTCTCATTCAGCACAGGGCCCTTTGCCAGGGGCTGTGCTGGGAGCCAGACACCCAGCTCAGGACCACCTTGGAGCAAGCTCTCCTTCCCCAGCCCATGCAAACCACTGCACATTCCTAGAGCAGGGAGTAGGTGGCCTGGGAACGTCCCCGAGCCATCACCAGTAAACGCGCTCAACTGAGATCACCTCCAAATGTGCTGGAGGGTTTGGAGCCAAGGCTCTGCAGCCCCACTCAAGGAGACCCTCCTGCTGCTTTGGGGAACGGTATGGGCTTCCCTCTCTGCTCCTCAGAAACCATTCCCATAGGAGCAACAGCAGAGGCTGGACCGAACAAGCACATCCACCAGGATATGCCACAGAGAGTCTGTTGGTAGCACTGAGAAGTCATCAGGATACAACCTCTCAGGTCCAAGCAAGACAGTGAAGTGCAGCAGTTGCTATTCATGGCACTCTCTGTCTGCAGATCCATAAAACATGAGAATAAGGAAACAAAGAGAAGTGATGGACCAGCCCTGTTGAGAGCTAAGTTCAGTTAGCTGGGTTCCTTTAGCTGACCTGCTTTTACTGGGTGGTCTTGCGTAGCATGAGTAGCTGCTGAGCATGGGAAGCTGAGGTTACCTCCTTGTGGCCAAGGCTCTAGAAACCCCCACCTAGATAGGGGTGAACTTTATTTCCAGCTTGCACTTAGGCTCAGGCCTAACCCCAGGCCTTGAGACAGCCGCAGCCATTAGCAAGGAGCAACAAACCACACCAATAGGAAAAAGTTTAAGGCAGCCTCAACAAAAGGACCCAGGGATGGGAAAGAACCCAATGATGGACGAGGAGCCCACAGACCAACATTCACCACTGGACCACGAGGTGCATGCAAGGCACTGAACAGTGCGTGATGGCCAGGGGCAGGGAACATGAGGGTATAAAAGCCCAGCTCAAGATGCTCCTACTCCTGAACTATTCATTAAGTTATTTGCTAAGAACTGGACTTGTGAGGCTGTGCTGTGAGAAAGGTGGAGCATGAACATTCTTTAACAGCCCAGTTCCAGTCTCCGCATGTCTTCTATTTGTAAGAACATGTTCCTCCCCTCCAATATTTGCAGCCTTCAGCTTCAATCTCGGACTCCAGCACTGGTGCTGGGATGAAATACACAGCAGTGACTGAAAGGATGGAGACCTGAGCACAGGGACCCACAGCGAAGCCCACACGGGACATCCTGCTGCCCTGTGGGCTGTGAAGGATTGTTCCTATCCCCCTCTGCATCCACACTGGGCATTGCACTTCAAACTGCATTGACCCTGGCTGGACCCATGAGCTCAGTGGCTGCCTGTCACCAGATGGAGCATACTGGGTGTTCTTCTGGAACACAGTTTCTGGGTTATTTTCACCTGAAAAATTCAGTTCCCACTCTCTAGCATTGCTCTCCATTGCACAACAAAGCACAGCAGGCAGGGACAGTCAGCTCCAGCACAGAGGAGCTCTCCGGATCCAGACAGAAACATAAATGCCCCAGGAGCCTGGGAGTACAGCTGGGTGCTAAGGGCTGTCCTGCAGAATGGAGCAAAAGCTACTGCAAACCAGCCTTCCAAATCAGCCTAAACACAGCAAGTCCTCTCCAAACGGTTCTGGTGGGGGGGGCCACCAATTCTTGTCTCAGAGGCAGACACGTGCAGCCTGACACCAGAAACTTGAGAGGATGCATAGAACCCCAGCCTGGTTTGGGCTGGAAGAGACCCTTAAAGCTCCTCCAGCTCCAGCCCCTGCCACAGGCAGGGACCCCTTCCACTGGAGCAGCTTGCTCCAAGCCCCTGTGTCCAACCTGGCCTTGAGCACTGCCAGGGATGGGGCAGCCACAGCTTCTCTGGGCACCCTGTGCCAGCGCCTCAGCACCCTCACAGGGAAGAGCTTCTGCCTAAGAGCTCAGCTCAGTCTCCCCTTGGGCAGGTTCAAGCCATTCCCCTTGGCCTGTCCCTACAGGCCCTTGTCCCAAGCCCCTCTCCAGGTTTCCTGCAGCCCCTTTAGGCACTGGAGCTGCTCTCAGGTCTCCCCTTCAGGAGCCTTCTCTTCTCCAGGCTGCCCCAGCCCAGCTCTCTCAGCCTGGCTCCAGAGCAGAGCTGCTCCAGCCCTCGCAGCATCTCCATGGCCTCCTCTGGCCTCCCTCCATCAACTCCAGGTCCCTCTGGTGCTGCTGCCCCAGAGCTGGAGCAGGGCTGCAGGGGGGTCTCCCCAGAGCACAGCAGGGGGGCAGGATCCCCTCCCTGAGCTGCTGCTCACGCTCTGGGGGTGCATCCAGCACATGGGGGGGTTCTGGGCTCAAGCACACACTGAAGCTGGGTCATGGGGAGCTTCTCCTCACCCAACACCCATTTCTCCATTAGCCAGCACTCCCTGTGCTCCCTTTCCTACCAGCTTCTCTGTTTCAGTAGTGTTTTCCCTGCTCTGATGGAGCTATGAGAGCAAAGGCCAGACCCAGCAGAGCCTGTTCCTCACCCCAGTAACCCCGCTCCGCACCCCCAGTCACACACTTGCACCTCCCACTTCAGAGTGAACACAGTTTCTCCTTGCTGGGGCAGTTCTCTGCCAGTTCCCTTGACCCCGGGTGGAAGCCATCTGGACCTGCGGTCTGCCTGGGCTCAGGAAACCAACTGTTACCTGACCTACTTACATCAACAGCCCTTCCCCAAGCAAGAACAGCTCACTGGACCCGACGTGGTTCCCTGCCTTTTCCCTTACCCTATTTCAACAAGCCACCGAGCCAGTCAATCATGGGTTCAGAAGCAATCATGGAAGATCCGGGCTGGAAGGGACTTTTGGAGGTCACCTGCTCCAAACCCCCTCTCATCTCAAGAGACACTTTCCCCTTGAATCAACAGGGCGGCTTTCCTGCAAGCGCTGTCCACTGACATCAGTGTAAGGAATTTTCAGGCTTTTCTCCATGTCCTTTCTGGTGCTTAATCTTCCCCACACTCCTCAGCAGCTGATTGCAGCTATCAGCAATGCCTTGCTGAGAAAAGGAGCCATGAAGGATGTCCTGGGGCCCAGGCTGCTACACTCAGAGCCGCTTCTGAGAACCAAGATCAATACTTTGGGGCTGTTTCAAACACCCTGAGCCTCTTTCCAGCTGCTGAGCCAGTGCCTCTGTATGTTCTGTGGAGGCTCCCATGCTGAGAGCTGCCTGCGCTGCTTCCTCCCCTGCTCCACAGAGCTCTGCACCAGGGCACTCTTGGAATAATTCAAGGGAACTCAACGAGTGTTGATTTTAGACCTGACTAAAGCTCGGTTTTGCATGGAACGCACTGCACTGTCACACCCACCCCACAGGAGGGATGCTGCAAGGAAAACGGCTGACCAGAGAACCCTAAAATATCCCCCCATAAAGAAGCAAGTACAAACAGAATGGCTGCTGCTTTGACTTACAGGAGCTTCAGTGTGGGGCAGCTCTACAACCGTTATCCCTGCTGAGACAGAGGATGTCTCCTCCTTGCTCCAGCCCAGTTAACAGCTTTAGCAGGAGAGGATCTCCAGTATGGAATGGCCTCAAGGGTGCAGAGAGCGAGAGCAATGTAAGCTATTTTATGGAAGACCTTTCCAGAGCTACTCCAGACTGAACGTTCGGCTGATCTTGATCTTGGCAACCTCAGCAGTCAGAGCAAGCGCTGGGCTGAACGAACAGCCTGGATCCTGATTCCCCAGAAGGAAAGCAGCTCTGTCCTGCCACTCACCCACCCCAAAGTGGCTGCAAGCTGCAGCTTCCACCCGCCAGGAAACCACCATCAACACACGATCCCATAGCCCTGGGCTCCAGAGCAAGATTCAAAAGGGAGAAAAGGGGGAAGAAGCAAGCTCAAACTCACCAACATCAGACACTTTGTGGGTTTTGATGATTTCAGCCAGTTCAAAATTGCCTGCAATGATGGCCACCTGCAACGAGAGGAGGGAAGAGAGGTGAGCGGCTCTGGGCAGCACCGCTCCTGCCCTAGGGAGTAACAACAGCTGCTTCCCATGGGATGCGGAGCCAGTGATTGCTCTGCCTCAGCTCACCCAGTCAGCCATCCCGAGGTGGAAACACGCCCTCACGACCACGGGGAGAGCATATGGCCATGGCTGTGCAACAAGAGAGAACCCTTCCCTTCCGAGCCTGGTGGTGCTCATGTGCCTGACACCAGCCAGGAGTTAATCTCAAGCCTTGCAGGTCCTGGAGATGCTCTGGGGCTGAGGCTTTCCAGGGAGTCCTGCTTAGCTTGTGAAAGGGGACTTGCCCATAGCTGAGCTGCCTGCACATCCCACCTGAACCATCACAGGGCTAAACCCTGCCCGCCCCAGGCTGTGCTGGCTCAGGAACCGCTTCCACTCCCAAAGCTGCAGCAGTACCTGCCCCAGTAAAGCCATGGTGCTTTAGACAAACATTAAACATTGCTCTGCCCCCATCCATCCCATGGCTTCTCTCCACAGGAAAACTCAAAGGAACAAGGGAAGTGAGGAGTTGACCCTGGGTCTGCCAGAATAAGGCAGAACTGGTGTGTCTTACCCCAGGAGCTGCTGCTGCGATGCTCATGTCCTGAGACACTGCAGAACACCAGCACCCAACACAAAGGGAGCTTAACTAGTGAGTAAGAGGAGAGAAACTGAAGTACCCACTCTCCTGAAGGGGCTTGGAGCAAGCTGCTCTAGTGGAAGGTGTCCCTGCCTATGGGACGGGGCTGGAACTGGATGAGCTGCAAGGTCCCTTCAGCCCAAACCAGGCTGGGATACAGGGATGGGTGAAATCACTTGGACTCGTTGTTCATCTCTTATATATCTGAGAAAAACTAAACCCCAAAGCAGAGCTACATCACAGCCAGCAGAGGCAAAACAGTGTTTTCAGAACAAGGTGAAAAGGGTTCTCTTATCATGTGAAAGAACCAGAGGGAGAGGGGTGGGAGTACACGAAACCCAGGACTGCTTCTCAGGAAAACGAACTGGAAATCTGCTCTGGACTAACCTGGTATATCCCTCCATGCAGGAATCTGCAGCCCCCTCTGCCCTTCCCATCCCTCCCAGCAATCCCAGTCCCCACTGAGCCTCCCAGAGCATTCCCTCACCCAGCAGCACCCACAGCTGAGGGGGGCAGGAATAGCTGGATCAAGCTGGCCTGGGTGAAAACAAAGTGCCTGGAGAAGAGAAGCTGCATGGAGACCTCAGAGCAGTTTCCAGTGTCTGAAGGGGGCTACAAGGATGCTGGAGAGGGGCTCTTCATAGGGACTGTAGTGATAGGACAAGGGGTGATGGGTTCAGACTGAAAGAGGGGAAGTTCAGGTTGGAGATAAGGCAGAAGCTCTTCCCTGTGAGGGTGCTGAGGCGCTGGCACAGGGTGCCCAGAGAAGCTGTGGCTGCCCCATCCCTGGCAGTGCTCAAGGCCAGGTTGGACACAGGGGCTTGGAGCAAGCTGCTCCAGTGGAAGGGGTCCCTGCCCATGGCAGGGGGCTGGAATTAGATGATTTGAACCCAAACCATTCTATGTTGCAGCTCAGAGTGTGAAAAGGTGTCAGAACAGGCTGAGATTTGCCTGTCCATGCTGGCACCATCAACACCGCCTTTTGCTCTTTAAGCTAGGGTTGGCATTTGGGAGGAAAGCCTTGGATGAGGCAGGCAGCAGAAAGCAAACCCTCCCGGCACTGGCAAAGTCAGGGCAGTGCTGGCAGCTCCAGCTGCCAAGCGCTTCCCTGCCCTCCCACCATACCAGCTTCAGGAACACGAGGTGCATTTGCATTCCACCACCAGCTTGTGACGAAGGGATATATTTAACATGGTGACTCAGTAGAGCACGCACACCTCTACTATCATCCTTCCTCAGCAGAAATAGTCTTACTATCCTCAGCACAACAATGATTATGTGGAGGGGTTTGTGTTTCTGAGGCCCAGAATCTGTGCTCCACCTCCTCAGCTGGAGCTGGAAGCAGTTGCTGATGGCTGGAGAACAGGAAACCTTCCCTCTGCCTTTGGCAAATCAGGCCACAGCAGCAGAGAAAAGCCAAGTATGAATCTGGTTTTCCCCAAGCTTGTTTGAAACCAGGATCTTTCTCTGCCTCTCCTTACACACACATGTACATTTACCAGGGCAAATGACTGCATTTGGGGAAATCTGAAAGCAAATCTAACCAAACTGACAAAACAGAGTGGAAAGGATAAATAAGGAAATGCATTTCAACTTCAAAGTTCCTCAAACGAACAACTAACACATGGTTCATCCTCTCTGTGAAAATCCAGCTTCAAAGGACCAGTTACGAGGCTCATTAGATGCACAGTTTGGGAATGATTCACAGGATGCACACACAGTGAGTGTCTGTGCTGCAGAGGAGCAGCTCCTGCCAGGGCACGCTCCCCAGGCTCCCCCAGTCCAGCTGCTGGAGGTGGAGGTCTCCCACCACTGCACCCACTGCCTGCAGCGGGCCCGGAGATGGGACAGCGGATGCTCCAGGAGCTGCCCCTCTCCCTGCCTTGGAAGCATTGCAACTGCCAGGAAAGACGAGAAGAAACACTGGATGAGAAGCTGTCAGCAGTAGAACCTCTCCTAAACCCGCAGGGAGGGAGGACAGCCCTGCTGGTCACACTCCTCAACCCAACCTGGAGAAAGCCAAGGAGATGGAACGGTTCCACGTGTTGTGTTGTCCCCTTGCCTGGTGCTTCCCCAGCCATGGAACCACCATGGCAGTGTTCCTGTGCTGCACATAAAACCCTGTGAGAGGCTGCACAAGGGAGCGTATCAGTGAGCTCTAAGTTAAAAGCAACAGCCTTTGGGGATGGGTAAAGAAGAAAAGGAAGTCTCAAGGATGGAACAGGTTGTCCAGGGGGGCTGTGGAGTCTCCCACATTGGAGCTATTCAAGGCCCGCCTGGACAAGTTCCTGTGTGATGTACTCTGGGTTACCCTGCTCTTGCAGGGGGTTGGACCAGATGATCTCTTGAGGTCCCTTCCAACCCTTGGGATTCTGTGAAATCCCAGGAATATTTCAATATTCCACTGCTAGCAATGTTAGTGCTCATACAGCAAAGAGAGAGGAACTGGTGGCTATCAGAAGATAAAGTCTCACTTCCTCACAGAAGGTAAATGATCCGATGTCAAGCAGTGAGCCAGATGTTCCACATAGGAATGCCATCTTAACATCAGAGCCAAGCTACTCATCCTGTTGATGCCATGGAGACAGCAGACCTCATGCATGCAGGGCAATGCGCCATTCCCTGTGATGAGGAAGGGATGGGTCCTGCAACATGCAAAGCCCACAGACAGGCTGCCACCACTGGATATAACACCTTGCAAAGGTCTCAAAGAGGAGACCAAGGAACTTGGGAGACAGAAGAGTAGCAAAACTTATCAACCAGGTGTTAGCCACATACTCCCAGCCACGCGCATCTGAAGCAAGGGAAGCATTTGGTTGGCGTAAAAGCTATTAAGATCTTCCCAAAGTGGGAAGAAAGAAGAGAGGAAGGCAAAGAGCTCAAGCTCAGGGGCACGAGTTCACAGGTTTGATGCTACATTAAAAAGTGACCAGGATGAGAGGATTTTCTAGCTTGAGAAATGAAAGACTTTCTGAATCAAACCAACCTCCACTTTCTTTGCTGCTTATGGAAAAGGCACGTGGCAAATAAGGAGGCGGCTGGTGACAGGCATGTGGCTTCACTAAAGGCACATCACCTGACAAACTGGTGCCCTTCTACAACAGAGTGACAGCGTTGGTGGGTAAGAGATGTCATCTACCTGGACTTGTGCAAAGCATTTGCCACTGTCCCGCACCACATCCTTGTCTCTGAATTGGAGAGGTTCAATGGATGGACCACTCAGTGGATAAGGAATTGTCTGGATAGTTGCACCCAAAGAATTGAGATCAGCAAATTGATGTCCCAGTGGAGACCAGTGATGAGTGATGTTTCTCAGAGGTTAGGGTTGAGACTGTCCATGTCAGTGTCATGGACAGTGGGAAGGAGCACCGTCAGCAGGCTGACTGATGACATGAAGCTGTGTGGTGCAGTGACATGCTGGAGGGAAGGGATGGGATCCAGATGGACCTGGACAGGCTGGAGAGGTGGGACTGTGTGAACCTCATGGTGCTCAACATGACCAAGGTCCTGCACAGGGGTTGGAGCAATCCCCAGCACAAACACAGTTTGGGGGAGATGGAGTGAAGCAGCTTGAGGAGAAGGACTTGGGGATGTTGGGTGAAGAGGAGCTCCCCATGACCCAGCTTCAGTGTGCGCTTGAGCCCAGAAGCCCCCTGTGTGCTGGGTGCACCCCCAGAGCGTGAGCAGCAGCTCAGGGAGGGGATCCTGCCCCTCTGCTGTGCTCTGGGGAGACCCCCCTGCAGCCCCGATCCAGCTCTGGGGCAGCAGCACCAGAGGGACCTGGAGTTGATGGAGGGAGTGCAGAGGAGGCCGTGGAGATGCTGCGAGGGCTGGAGCAGCTCTGCTCTGGAGCCAGGCTGAGAGAGCTGGGCTGGGGCAGCCTGGAGAAGGCTGCAAGTGTCCAAGGCCTCAGCTTCTCCAATTATTGAGGATTTCTGACCTCTCCGTTATCCCAGAGAACAGAGAATGGTTCTTCTTCCTCCCCACAGTTGCCCCTGGTGCACTGCTGTACAGCTGGACCTGTTGCAGTTTCTCGCTTTCCTCAGCCAGGCTGACTGGCTTCAGGCATGTTCTACATTTGTTCTAGATTTCCAGAAATCTGGCAATACTACTAGGTCAATCCTACTGCTCACATATGGCAGCTCCATCTGGCCGCCATATGAGCATCAAGCCTAGACACGTTCACAGCAGTGTGTGCTGCCATCCCATTGCAGCTCATCTGCAGTGTCACCGGAGTCAGTCACTCGATGACTGTGCTGTAGACCCAACATCTCCTGAAGGCAAGAGACGAAGCTCCTGTGGTGAGCTACACAGCTGATCTGGGACA